TTTGCCACACCTAAGATAGGCTCCCACGTTGTTATTTGCTCCCGGGTTAACATAAACCGGTTTAACGTAACTTTTGCATCCCGGCCAAAATTGCCGGGTTAACCGTCCCACCGCTCGAGACTGGCGCTAGGCTGGCCGAGCAAAAATAAAAAGTTTGTCCGCGGCTTCGTCTTATTCGCAGCTGCTGGACACGGGGGAGGGGGGAGGAGGGGCTGCATCGGACGAAAAGCGGACTCTGGTATTAACTGGATTTTTTGCCAGCTGGCGCCGTACGGTGGCGCTAGCAGAGCTTCTTACATATCAATGCTAGATTATAGATATAAAAGAATAAATATTTACCAATCAATTTTTCATTTGAAGCCATTTGAAATATTTATGTCCATCCTACTACCGCGCTTATATCTAAAATTAAATACCTTTCGTGCGTCGCCAGCTGGCCAGCCAGCTGACGCAATCCAGTTTTTACCAAAGCCCCGAAAAGCGAGATCAGGTGAGCCCTAATATTGGCTTCACCACACAATTTGAGCCCTCAAACTGGAATCAGGTGAGCTCGAAAATGGGGATCAGGCTGAAAACTGGTATCATAGTGAGACTAGTTTTAGAGCTTGACACCGATAATGGGTACTGACTGAGCTCTGTTTCTGCGATCAATGATACCGATTTCAGGGATCGTATGAGCCCATGTGGCGTTGCTCAGAAAGTATTCTCGAAATGTGCTGTCTGTTTTGAATATGGTACATTAGCCCGAAAACTGGTCTCTGAGACCGAAAATGGGGATACTGTTTTCTCAGTGTAATAACGTTGCTTGGAAATCTTATCTGAATAGCCTATAGAATATTTAGTTTCTTGGGTACCATTTTGCCTACATTATAAGGTTAAGCATAAAATGTTCAGCTTTTTGCTGCTCTTAAAATCATAACACATCCCATGGACAAGTTTTGAGGCTTTCGGACAACACAAGCGCGCTGGTCACGCTGTTCCACATGACAATCTTATCTACTCGACCAGCTCCAGCTGTGACACATTGCCGCAATATCACGTCATCGACTCGAAGAACGACGCTCGTAACGTCGCGAGTCAAAACATCGCGGCGGCGCGACGCGAGTGTGACGTGTGGCGCTTTGGATGACGTAAATGCTCGGTATCGACGAGGTCAGCGTTAAGGCTGTCCCACACTGAAACTCGCATGCGGGTTGCGGGATTGCGGGTTTTGAGTTTGCGGGCATAAAACTTATTCATAGAGTGATTAGAACGTTCACATATGGTAACTTTATGAATGCAGTGAAGCTGGTAAACCTTCAAAAACTTACATATAGTCGCAATACCGGCGCAACGAATCAAAATTCGACTCCAACGAAAAACCCGCAAACCTCGCATAACTCGCAGACCTCGCAGCGAGGAAAATCTAAAGTTGACTCAAAATCAACTTTAGGAATGCGATGCGAGGTCGCTCGCAAGCTAAAAACACGCAGACTCGATTGTTAGATGGTAGTGTGGGTCAATCAGCTTAGATTGTATTATGTGATTTTGAAGAAACCGCAAAAACCAAAAACTCGCAACCCGCATGCGAGGTCCAGTGTGGGGCGGCCTTTAGAGAAGCGCAGAAACGGGAAATATGCTGGATATAAGGTGAGCAAAGAAGAATAAAAGGACAATGCTGGTGATGAGCCTAAAAGAACATAACCGGTATAATCCGTTATGACATTATGATCGTGACATATTTTGTCAAGAAATGCTGAGCCGCTGCTCTTTACAGTTCTTAGAAGCTTTCCGGACCAATGCATTGTCACACAAATATGCACGTTTTATCGCAATGCAAACTGCTTCCACTATTCTCAGAAAGATAGACATTGGACAATAATCAGCGTGAGGCGAGCATTATGATGGGGCGTGCTGGATTCCTCGGCCATGGCCACTTCCATCTCAGCTCTTTACGCTGCATAATCAGCCTCAACCCCCTCTACGAAACATACCGCGACCCACAGCCCCCATCTCATTGCAACCAGGCCAAACCGCCAGTCGTATTTCAACAATGGTTCCCATCCGTCCACCGGGAGAAGACTCCTGGCCGCTCTCCCATCATTATCCCAATCGGAGGCGGCCCTGACCAGCGCCTGACTGGGAACTGTGACGGACGATCGAGAGCGGGGCCTCTGCAGCGGTGAGAGGGGCGCTCATCCGGTGACCCCTGTGATCCCACTGGGCACCGGGTCACCAAACCAAGGTCAGGTGTCTCTGTTTCGTCAGAGCCTCGGCAAAGGCTAACTGGATGTTTGGAGGGAGCGCTGAAAAAGCTGCAAGAACGTCAAACGAGCAGCAAATGCTTCAAAGCACCCAACATACCGAAACTGTTTTTCGAATCTGAGTATGGTTCTAAGATTTCAAGCGAACCACTTACCAAGTTGGTGAAACTGCATGCACTAATGCAGTCATGCACACCATGCACGACGCCCAACAACCGTCCCGAGTCTCGTGCGACCCCGCCCGTTATGCGACCCGTCACATCTCCGGTCCCGCCCGCTGCCTTCCGTCATCAGTCATCCCCGGTCGGCGTGCACACCTGTGCCTAGTGCACACCGTGCTGCACACTGCACATGCACCGGTGCACACGGCAGCATCTCGCGTCCTGCGGGTGCGGCCCCGCCCGCCGACCCATGGTCCATAGGGGTCACTCAGTTCCGCTAGGAGCCGGGTAACGGCAGACTAACGGCCGCTGCGGTCGCGCAGCAGTGCAGTGTGCACCAGGCGCGGATACAAGGGGGGGCCATGGGGGCCATGGCCCCCCCCTTGGCCGATTTTTTTTCAAAAATAAAATAAAAAGTTAAAAAGTTAAAAAGCTGAAAAGGGGGCCTCCTGAAAATAAAGTGGCCGAAATCCGATGAGTTTTTTTTAACCTACCCACTTAGTTATTTCTTAGAAGACTAGCTGAGAAGACTTCTTTGTTAGAAGATTGGTAAAGCTTTTCATAACTTGGAGGTCTCTTATACTCACAGAGATGACCACTTTTACAGGGCCTCCTAACCTGCACAGAGGGCCTCCAAGCCTGCACAGATGTTGAGATGTTGCCTGAACAGCTAGATAAGTTCAATAGACGCAGTTTTTTTTTTGGGGGGGCCCAACAAGTGGGAAGATGGGGCCTCCAACAGGTGGGATTATGGGGGGGGCCTCCTGGTTTCTAATGGCCCCTCCCTTGGAGATTTTCTGGATCCGCCCCTGGTGTGCACTGTGCAGTATGCATCGTGCGCCCCCGAAACGGTGGACCGTCGCGATCATCACCGGGTGAGGGTCGGTGGACTCTGATGGATTACTGTCGCCGTGCCAATTTCTGCAATAATTGGTATAATCGAGGGCCTAGTCCTAGCAATGATCATCTATTCTGCTTATCACGCGACTAAATCATTGTTTTGTATCTATTTTGGGGACTTGAACGATTACAATCCACAAATGATATGAAAAAATAATGTTTTCATGACACAATTAATCATGTAAGTACCATGCCACACCACATGCCTTGTCAAAGAGGATATCACATCCTCTCACCTCACCCATGTAAGGACAAGTAAGTATGTAGCTAGCACTAGTAGTTGGCGTCAACTGACCGCACAATGGTCACGTGACTGAGGATGATCCCGATGCAGTCCTTCATCCGCCCTGTCCAGCCGTTATAGCAGCTGTCCCGCTCCCCAGCCGGCCGTCGTACGATGAGCGACGACCGGCCGTCATCTGGGTGACGTTCTTTGGCGCGCCGGTGGCGTATTGTGGCGCGTCGGTGGCGTATTGTGGCGCACGGGTCACTGCCGGCCGACGCTTTGACCCGTGACCGCACTGGTCGCCGGTGACGCGTCTATGGGCCGCGCCAGGCATCTGTTGCTGTTGGTCGCCGGACGGCGGACGGCGGATGGCGGAGGGAGGATGATAGTGTCCTGCACCGTCATCCCAGCAGCGGACGGTGTCCAATGCGGCAGTTGGACTCACAATGGAGAGCGGTGGTGAATGAAGCCAGGAGCGGCATGGAACGGGATGTGGGGCGAGATGGGACGCGATGGGATAGGACAAGGAAGGACGGGAGGACACCGCCCGTACCACCCCCCAGGATCGACGGGAACTGACACGCACTTTGTAATGACATATATTTTTGGGGTGGGGCAAGCGCTCGGACGGTGACAGTAAAAAAATGAATATATAAATGGACATTTGCGGTTAAAAACTTTCGGTTAAAAAGTTCAGCTGCACTTGCTTTCAAAATTCACATGCTGGTACAAAGATTTTCATGTTCTTTCAGCTAGTTGCACAAAATTCGCAATAACAGTCGGAAGAAACTAAGTGATAAATTTAAGATGTAGGTACGTGGAACTTCCTTCATTTTTTTTTGCAGTTTTATTTAACTTATTTGCATTTATATTCAAGCATTTGCAGCGACTACTGGCCAGATTTAACATCAGACACTAGACGAAATGTCGTGAATTGAAGCATAAATAATCCGTCAAATGCCATCAATGTTTTCATACGCCTACAGTGAACTAGCCTGATGAGTTAGAACGATAAATTCCAATCAGCATGCGAGTGATTGCTATAACTACATAGCTAACAGGCAACAGCGATAGATGATTGAGAAAGACATTCATTTCAGACGTTATAAATTCGCATGACACACGAAACAGCATGCGCACATCATGGGCGGGTGCTCCAATGCGAACTGAATTATCTGCTGCCATTTTTCAGCAAAGCAAAATGGAAAAAAAAAACTTATCAAACTCTAAGGTTATGCAGCATGCGCTTTGCATGTTGTATGCGCTGTTGAGCGTTTCTACCATAGATTGCAAGTATTAGTCGTTTTCCACATGCTTCTATCACCCCGACCTGCCTGCTGACGGTTGCCGCCGGCTGCTGGGGGCGGAGGGGGGGGGGAGGTAGCGCCGCTGCTGGCCGCTGGTTGGCCGGCCGGCCAGCCCCGGTGGCCGCTGGCTGGCTGCGCTGGCCGCCGGCCGGCCCGGCCCGTCGCGTCCGGCGCCGCTGCCGTCGCAGCCAGTCGCCGCCGTGCTGTGTGGCGAGCAGCACGCGCCTGGAGCCGTCCAGAGGCCGACCAGGAGCTGTCCAGGAGCTGACCAACTGAGACTGACCGGCGCTGACCACTGGTGACCAGTGGTCAGAGGTGCACTGGGCAGAGGTCACTCGAGGTCACCCACCGAGTGACCAGTGGTCGACTGGAATTAGAATCACGTGATTCCGGACTTCTTCATTCGTGACGGACTTCCAGCCATCGCGAACAAACCACCACTCAGGTGGATCTGAAGTGACCCGGACTGACCTGACCTGAGGTCACTGTCACTCAGTACAGAGCGTGACGTCATCATCGACCCCCGTGTGACGTCAGGATGAGGGTGAAGATGCCGCCGTCGGTGCGGATCGTCCAGGATATCCAGCCGGACAGAGGTGAGTGAAGAAGCTGCACGTCTTTACAGACACGCTGGCTGGATCATTGGATCTTGTGTGTGAAAAAAGTATTTGCAGAACAAAAATCGTTCCCTACAAGGGTACTCGGCGGTAGTGCAGGCTTTGTGGTGATTGATGCCTTGCACTTTGCATTTCGTCTGAAATTGACTACCTGTCGGCATTGTGCGTTGATTTGCAAAGCTCGCGAAAAATGTCTCGCCAATGATATTCGGCTGCAAATGCCGCGTTCACAGTTTCGTCTCCCCTGCGTCTCAAGTCCCAACCATCCCTCCGCATTTGTCGTGTCCCATTCGTCACTAGGAGTGACACGGGTGCTGCCCAGACTGCTGTCGCTGTCACTCCATGGCAGACCACTACTGCTCTGTCTGCCTCTCCCGCTAACCGGCCGAGGGTGCTGTGCTAGTCTACGGGCCTGTTCTCAGAAATATGTTCGACAGGTGTACGTTAGGTGGGGCTATAAACATTCCAAGATATAGCCTAAACGAAAAAAGAAAAGAAAATAAGAACAGGCGATCAGCCGCCTGTGTGTGACGAGAGTCGCAATTTGGCTAGCTCGTTGGAAGGCTGGTGAGTAGAATTAATAAATGTATGTACCCTGTCCTGTGCCGTTCGATGACAGCAATGAGTCGATCCGGTGTTACCGAGTGGACATTGGTGACGTTTACATTGTGCGTTATATAAGTGTCATTTAGTTATTCGGCTATTGAGTCGTTATATAAGCAAAATCAGAAAAGTTCATGGCTTTCAAGTTACCGATCACTTTGACTCATGACATCAATTAATAATATTCGCCACGCCAATTTCATTTAAGCATTTTGTCACCTTTCTTTTTAAATGTGGTCTGTTGGCTTTGCACTGGTGAGAATTAGGGGTGAGAATTCATGCAAAGTATGGCTTGTTGGACATTTTCCGACAGCGGCCATCCAGTCTGGCAATTTCAGATAGGTGGAAATATGTGTTGCAGCGCTGCGGACCCTAATCTTTGGTGCACTATGGATGTCATTGTGCATATCATGCCGCTCGGCTCTGAACGGCTCTGCAAAAAAAGTGTTGCAAAAATGGAATGTACATAAGAGAGCACTGATGTGTGGCATTGATTTCCCACAGTCACAAAAGGCGGTTAGACATGATTCGCGCAGTCACAACTGACAGCTAACTACTTATTGCTTGGTATTTTCCAACACAGTGCTAACTAAGTATCTTTCAAACATACTCCATTCTATCAGCTTTATCTTTCATAACGTTGATAATGCCTCGGTCCAGCAAATACTTTGGTGAACTCTGTGGAAGCGGTCATGGACGTTGTGATCATGTGACGTTTGTTCACGAGTCCTTATCGTAGATATACTGGATCATGCGGAAATATAAAAGGAACTCAACAACAGACTATGCTTTTGAGCTGACGCGTTATGCTCTGTTGAACCTCCACTCTTTGAACGAGCCAGTAAATTTCGGTGCCGCCCTTTGTCGTAGTCGAGCCATTAATTGCTCTTTAAATCGGACCATTACGTTCAATTATCTGCAGAAGAGTGACATGGGATGGTGGCCTTAGGTTTCCATAGATTGTATTCCTTATTTTTCGCTTACATTCAAATGTTTTGCATACCCAACAGTCTTCTACGTTGTCAGATACCTGTTTGATAAATATGTAGGTAGGTTTATGAAATTATGTTTTCAACTGAGGGTTTCTACTTGTTTGGAATGTTTTTCGGTGTTAATCCTCCAGTTTCAAATCCTCCCCTATCACATCCAGCCGAGCATGTTGCAATCTCCCCTTTTGCCCGTCCGTTGCCGCCCTCACACCAGCCGCCCCTGTAAACCCTAGCAGCCATTGTGGGCGGCACTTCAAAGCCTTCCGCCTGAGCACACTTCAATCGCGCACCGCAGAACGGTGACGTCATCAGGCGTGTGGGTCGGCCGATCGCTGCAGGGGTCCTCGGAGATCGTCCTCTCGGACGCACTGTCCTCATTCCTCAACAGTTGTCCGACTCAAATGCATCATCCCTGCGGTTTCTTTGAACGATGTCACTTCTAGCCCGAATTCAATGCTGATGGACCTATAGCTGCCAACGAAAAAGCTAAGAAATTTGAGTTTTGATGAAAATTATACGTGGACGAACTAGTTGCAAGCCATTGGCCATTCCATGCTGTCCAGCTTATCTTTTTTGCTTCTTATTCCACTTCTCTAATCCCACTTCGTCATATGCCACTGCACGCCATTACAATTTTTCCAGCATCCTAATTCTCCCTCACACCCATTTTCATCTGTCCCATCATCCCATCGCTCCTTCCCTCCCACCGCTCCGTCCCACGTCCCGTCGCGTCCCGTCGCGTCCCGCTACGTCCCGTCGCGCGGCGCTGCCCTGTCGCTAGTTACAGCCGCTTCACGGCAACCACTCCATCATCCGGGGCTCAATCGGGATAAACGACCCACCACCGTTGGCCAGCCGGGCTGCCGACCCATGGAACAGACGTCCATGGCTCGATCGAGCCTCAGCGGACGTTGCCCCTCCCTCTCTCCCCCTAGATTGATGCTGGCACGTGCGGTGAAAAGAGACAATGGGCTCGGGAAGATGACTTGCGATATCGTGTTTTTTATCCGATTTAAAATAAATAAGTATCAAATATAGGTATGAATGAAAGTCGTTGTTGACCCACTGTCCAAATTTATATTTTGTTATATAAATCAGTGAAATTGAGGATGTTTTATCCCTTCCCTCGAGCATCTACCTCACTGATCGTCGCCCGACATCGCTGTTTCTCTCGGACAATGCAGTTTCATCGCGCAGCCTGTCACTCTTCCCGTGACGAATGCGGCCAGGTGTCCCGTCCACCACCCTTCCGCTCGTCCCTCCAATCACAGCCGTTTTTCTCACCGCCGGCTATCTCCGTCGACGGTTTTTAGCGGACGATCGCCCCTCTCGTCCTCCCCCACCCCTGCCCGGTGGTGGTGGGTGCCAATGACCGGTGCGCTATGCTATTTATCCGGATGCGTCTCGCGCGGCGCCACCCCTTTCTCGCGGCCGGCGGAACCGTGAGGGGAACGGCTGCGGCTGCTCCCCTTCCTTCCCCGCTCGGAGGCTTTGTCGTCGGTAAAAACGCAGCTCAATGGGCACCGGTGTCGACTGTTTTTGCTGCCCGCCGCCGCCGCCGCCGCGCCGGTCGGAGGGGGACGGGGGACAGTGCACACACACACAGGGACACGGGCTGTCTCGTGGGAGTGGTTGCGGTGCGGTTGGGATGACAGGGGAGCGGTGGGTCCGTCAGCTGCCGGGTGCAGTGGGGAATCTGGACACTCTGGGTAAATCGAATCAATTCGTTTAAATAGAAATTAGAAACTGTCAGAATGGCTCACTATGAGGCAGATAAACTTGTAAGAGCTTATAGTTAACTTATGACTTATGGGCGTAAAAAGCAAATGTAGCCGCTTCTGCTTTTGTAAGATTTTGTCACTTATTTCAGCAATAGAGCTGTCCAAAAGATTTGCAACAACTGCGTTTTTCGTTTCTCAAGTTTCTTGTAGAAAAGTAAAAAGATCGGAATCGAATGGACGGAAATTCCCGCATTGCACGCATTTCTAACTAGGTACTTCATTCATCCATACGCTTGCTATTCACCATGCAGTAGTAACTTGCAGTGCCCCTTAGCGCCATCAATGCAGTAACCAGGTTCTGACCAGTGCGGTCGGAAATCCTCTCACTTTATCGTGTCAGTACGGTGCCCATCGGGCGTCACTCGCCCGTTTTCACTCATCCGGTCGGCGTACCGACCACACTGCACACAGGACATCCTGGCCGGTCGGTCCGGAAGACCTCGGCCCCGCCCGACCACCGCTGAGGTCGCAGTGCAGCTTTCACGTCCTCACCCCCAGTGAGGGTCGGTTTTTAGATCGTAGGCGGCCCGCCGTGCTGGTCAGTTGGATCTAGCTGGCTCTCCGATAGGCCCACTTGGTCCGGTTTGGTTTGGCTCATTGATTGCTTTAGTTTGGCTGGCTCTGAATTGATGGATGGTGCTTTTTATGCTCTCCTCTCTTCCCCTCTTTTCTATCTTCTCCTCTCCTCTCCTCTTCTCTTCCCTCTCTCTCTCCCTCTCTCTCTCTCTCTGTCTCTCTCTCTCTCTCTCTCTCTCTCTCTGTCTCTCTCTCTCTCTCTCTCTCTCTCTCTCTCTCTCTCTCTCTCTCTCTCTCTCTCTCTCTCTCTCTCTCTCTCCCACGCCCCGTCATGCACCCGCCCCCAGAAATATCCCCTTTGAGACGCTCACAGACGAAAATCTATCCCCAGGGACGGCCAGAACCATGGCATACCTCTCGGTCCACCTGCCTCCTGCCCCCGCCAGACGCGTGCACGCCGGCAGGGGCGACCCGCGTCACTGCGTTTCAATCACCCTCGCCTAATTGTCACATTAGTCGCCGCGGCAGGGGGGAGGAGACAGAAGCGATAAATCTAGTCTTCGGTCGCGGCCAGCCGACTGCACCCGCCCCCCGTTTAACCGACCCCGGTGGCAGCGCGAGTTTAGGAAATGGTAACCGTGGCGGTGGAGTATTGTTGGTGAGATGAATGCGGCCAATGGTCAGTCAATCATGGACTCAACGACCGGTTTTGGGTTGCGGGGCATTCAGGGTTTGGATAAGCTCGGTGAAAAACGGCGGACAGTGGGTGGTCTCCGGACTGAACGTGTTAATCCGTTGGTGTCACGCACTCCCCTGCGACTGTGCGAGAGTATGGCAGATAAAGGCATCATTGTAACAAAAATTAATCATGCTTTTCTTTCTTTGAAACTTAAAAATAAACCAACTTATGTCGCTAGTTTTCTGTTGGGTGCCAGTGACATGAAGTTCTGTTACAGTCTAATCGATGGAGAGCACCTGCACGTTAGGTTCGATCCTGAACGCATCCATAGAGTTTCCGCCATTCTACTCTCCAAAGGCCATTACCCCCATTTCTAAACCACCACGGAATCACTTTGCTCCTTTCCAGAGG